TATACCGTTCCTTCCCGGAGGCTCGGAGCGGCTTACACATATACATTTAATCGCCTAACTAGGGCCACATACATATCAGGGGAGATGGATGCCTTGCCAGGCACCTACGCAGCGTAGGTCTTTCTGTGGCGGGGTCTTGCTAGGACCAGGCGGTAGTGTTCTTCGGCGGAGGTCTTTTTCCATCTCTTTGGCTCGGCTTCCTGGGATGGTCCTTTTATGGTGCGCGGCTGCACGATGAGGTCGCAACTGGTCTCTGTCCCGGAGGCTCCGACCGTGCTTACGTCACCGCACCTCCACGCCGCCTCCAATCGCCTCCCGAGTCGCCTGCCGTCTGCCGCCAATCTGTCGCCATGTTCTCATTGATTCACCGCATCGTTCAGCCACTGCTGCTGCCCTCCAATATTGGAGGTAGGGTAGGGTGCCCCCCCCACTCTCAAGGAGTGGGTACCCATTTGTCTAATTGCCGTTAAGGGCTTTAGAGCCGCTGGGTGGGCGGGAGCTAGGATAAGGGCCGGGAGCTCACCCCGGCCGCAGTGGGACTCGAACAGCTATTAAGGCTGTTATGTCTCCTTCCCGGTTGCCGTTCCACCAATCTGAGACCTCCCCATGGAGCTGAGCCTTCTGGAGGCTGTCGCTGCTTTCAGTGAGTCATCTGTGCAGTAGTGGATGTAGCCAGAATAAATGTTATGATCTTGACCTTCTTTCAGTGGACGGCCATGTCTCCTCCCACCTTATTGGCTTTAAAGTGACGGCCATCTGAGGGATAGCCAAGGTAGTTTGTAGAACCTCAGAACTGTTTGGGGAAGGACTGGGCATCCTTAACTTGTAGTAGATAAATGCAAGCATCCTACCCGACTAGCTACAGCCTGGCATTGGTCATCCCTGTAATATGCGCTTTCTGTGCTTTCCATCCAGGAGAGAGAGCCAGGCATCTCTTTAGTCTACTTTGACTAGGTCAGTATTCTGAAGATAAACTGGGCCTGCAGCACGTTCGGGTATCCAGTGAGCTAATAGACCAGTTGTCCTCAGTCTTCCTCAGCCTAGTGCCTGGGCTACAGGAGAAGTGTCAGCCATATGAGAACAGTACTGGAACAATTTGAGGAATTTCAGACAGGCGATATATTCAGGAAGAGGAACGGTTCCCAAACGGTTTCTGGTCTGTCATTTCAGACAGAACTGTTTGAGAACCGGTACCCTTCCAGAATATATTTGTCATTTCATACACAATCGCTTCTGTCCCGTTTAGGAAACGGGGCTGAAGCGTTTTACCTGTCAACCGCTTCCAAGTACTCCTCAGTTTCCTCTCCCGGTTCCGGTGCGCTTTTCCCCGCCATTTTATTTTGAACGTTTGCTTTATAGCGTTATAGTGCTATAGCGCTATAATGGAATATCATTATATCAATCCCATTGGAATGCAGGGAGTGTTTTGTTATACTGCGGGGGGAAAGCGGGAAAAAGCGATGCAATCTGAAATGGCAAACTGCTTCAGATCCAGCTCTTTACCGAAAGGGGAAAGCCATGTGTGAAATGGCAGCCCTATACCGGTTCACTTCAAAACGGTTCATTACCGGCTTGAAACCGGGTGAAACTGGGTAATGTGAAATTCCCCTTTGTTTTAGTTTTCTAGAAGAGCTGCTTATGCATTTTGCCCCATCCCCTCAAGATCCAGGGCAGTGCAGTCCATCTCCCTTGAACTAGCCATGTTGAATCCCTGTATGACGGAAGACGCTACATGGTGTGAAAGGGTCAGATGCACCCTGAGCTTTCCCCTGCCAGAGTGCCACTGGTGTACCATGATTTTTTAAATGTTTTCCTTTGATAACACGTTGATTTTTATTTTGATTTTTAAATCTCCGCAGGGAAATTCGGCACTGGAATCCAGTCTTATTTCTCTTTTCTGCGGTTCCTGGTGCTGCTCAACTTTGTCATCTTCCTCCTGATGTTCAGCTTTGTCACGATTCCCAGCACTGTTTCTAAACATGGTGTCTTCAACGGTAGCTACGTTAAGCCTTCTCTGAAGAGCACAGGTAAGGCGATGAGGGGAGGCCCCCTGGATCAGATCAGTGGTGCATCTAGGCCAGCATCCTGTTTCTCATGGGGGTTGATCAGATCCCACCTGAAAGTCCACATGGAGACCACAGAGGCCGAAGTCACCCAGCGGTTTGACATTCTGAGGTCTGCTGCCTCCGGACTTGTCCTAGGTGGGCTTATCCTCCATTTCCAGTCCCTTTTTAAAGCCATCTGATTGTGGCCATTACGACAGCCTGTGGCTGTCGTAATGATGCATTGTGCAAAGAAATACCGTACTTCTTTTCGTCTGCCTTGCCCATTGAGGGGTTTAAAAACTCTTAGCTGGGCCCCTTTTTGTAGCAGGATAAGATTTTTTCCCTTTGCAGAAGAACAAGCTAAGCTTGATGTCATTAATGAGCAAAGAATCAAGTTCTTTATTTTTACTATTCTAGTGATTTTTTTTAATCTGTTGTTTACAGAGCCAGAATGCACAGTTTATATAGTTAGTGGAACCAAAGGATTGATTTATTTCTACACTTATATTATAGATCTTCTTTCTGGCACAGTAAGTAGTTCTTCTTCTTCTTGTTTTTTAAGTTAAAAGATAACAGCATCACTAGGGTGCAAAACTGAATCACTTGGGGGCACATATCGGAAGGGGTCAAATAAAATCAAATTTATTAATACAGTTTGTGACCAGCACAAGATCAGTTACAGCAATGCACATGAGTGTTATAAATTTTAGGAAATATTCTGTATTAAAGTTACTGAATGGAAGGGATATATCGGTGTATATCTTTTAACCACCGTTTGTCACAGATGAGATTTGAAAACTCTTTGCTATGTCGGGTGTCACGGGCAAACAGAAGCACAAATGCAGCTTGGTTTGGTGCTCTCATCTCTCCCTTAGTACCTGAGAAGAATCAAGTTCCAGTTTATCACAGTATCAAAATGCAGACACCCCGGCAAATGGGAGTTGGTTCCCCCGCCACTGACTTGGATTCTAAACCTCATCCGTTAGGATAAAGAGGGGGAGAGAGCCCTGCATGCCACTGTGAGCTCTTTAGAGGAAGGGTGGGATGAAACTATCCTAACATGCAATTTGCAGAGTTATGCAGTTGTGTTCCTTAATAAGCAAAGGAATAACAATGAAGAGTCTTACTTTATTAGGGCTGCAGCATCATTGAGCAACTTCAGAAATGCCAAGAGAATTGCAGTTTGTCACTTGTCAGGAGCTCCTCAGATCAGCTTGACTGTCATCCTTGGTTTGTTTGAGTTCAGAGTTGTGTGTAGTAACTCAACCTACCTTTGTTGCTCCAACTTGTTGCAGGGTTTCCTCGAAATGACGAGTCTCTTCTATGGCTATTACACAGTAGATACTGTATATTTTGGCATTGTAAGGTACAGCGTGCCGCTTGCGTATTTGCTGACCACGCTGGCTTACCTTTCACTGAGCCTTCTCTGGATTGTTAAAAGGTAACCAGTGTTTGTGGGATGTGTGTGTGTGTGGTGTGACCCACCTGTTTTATCGTAATGCTGCCAACATCAAAAGGTTGCTTTGAGGATGGCTAAGATAAGAGCTATGATAAAGCCTATGAAAAGGGCTTTGCATATTTTGAGAAGCCCTATAGAGATTAATGGGATTATCGATAATAAAACCATTGTTGACAGTATGCGTTTTATTACGGGTACTCTTCCAAACAGCTTAAAACCTCATTAGCCGGCCTGATTGCAGCGCTGCACTCAGAGCTTTTTAATCCAAAGGAGCGGACATCTGGCATGGCAAAGATGCGTACTGCTCCATGCTGTTTGGAGTTTAGGAAATCTGCCAGATGGTCCCATGACAGTTTGTTGGGCCAATTCAGCTGATGCTTCAGCCCCAGGATTCTTCTGTGGACGCTCAGATGTCCCTTTTACTACAAGGACAAGTGGGTTTGAAGCTACGTTTCAGTGATGCGGGCAGCATAGCAACGTATTCCTCATGAGATGCTGATCACATTTTAGCACTAAGGCAGTGCTTTGAAGAAAGTCCTGTTGAGTGCCACAGAAGTTAATGCATAGGACTAGGTGACAGATACTCTTGCATATTCTCATTAAAAAAAATGGAAAGATTGCTAAAGGTGGCTTATTTTAAAAAAAATGCATTGCCTCTCCCAGATCTGTCGAAGGCTTTAAGCAAAGCCTGGTCCGTAATGAAGATCAATTTCAGAGCTATTGCAACAAAATATTTGCTGGCTGGGACTTCTGTATCACAGATGTAAATGCTGCACAGCTGAAGCACAGCAGCTTGCACTATGAACTTAAAGTGAGTGTGTTTGTGTGTGTGTGTCATCCCCCCCCCCCATAGCATGTCAAACTGCGCTGTGCTTGAGATGGAAACCTAGCTAAATGGTGGTTGGGGCTAATTGGAGCAGTGTATTTGAGCTGGAGGAAAAACACCTGAGAAACACTTGTAGGCATTGCCTTTTGAAGGGCAACACCTGCAGTCTTTGGTTGACTAAACCACTTGTGTGGAGTGTGCTGTACGGAAGAGCTTTTGCTTAATTGTGGCTGCTTGCAGTAACTACTAGCAAGTGACAAGCGTTCCCATTCTCTTCCCTCGATTGCTCAGAACTTAGTAACTGTTTTCTTATCGCTAGACTGCACGGTGGTGGCCATGGTCCCTCCCATGTCTGGGGGACTATTGAAAGATGCTGATCGTGTGCCCACAATGCAGAACTAAGTACATTCTTTCTCACTGCGGCTTCAGCAGCTGGACATGAAAAAATGCTTTCCTTGTGTGTGCTGGTGTTCTTACACCCACGTACCAGTGAGGCCTCAGACTCCCCAGTGGCCTCCCTGCAAAATTCATGGTGTAAATTGGAACCCAGCACCTGGAAGGGACTCCCTGCCCTTCCAGCTCCTAAGTGAATTTCATCCTAATCCTTCAGACCTTGGTTTAACAGTGATTTGAGTGTTAGTCAAGGGCAATGCTCCCTCTAAGCTGTGGAGTCTTGTGAGCAAAAATTCTACTTTGTGAGCTACTAGCGTTAAAACTGTGAGCGAGCGATTTGGCTACTGCGTCGGTTAGTTTGCTCTGGAGCCCTCCTTCCTGAGCCGAGACAAAAATGTGTGAGCCGGAGGCTAAAGAACTGTGAGCTAGCTCACACCAACTCAGCTTAGAGGGAACATTGGTCAAGGGGCAGATCTGTGACGGTGATCCAGTGTTGCTCCTTTCACTTACTGCTTTTTCCTGTTTTACAGACGGACTTGGAGGAAGAAAGGCTAAGGCAGAGAGCGGCGGAGAGAACCACCCAAGAGAAAATCCGTATCTATTGTCTGAGGATATTCTTAAATCTCGTCGTTCTTACTGTGTTGTCAGCCTGCTTTTATTCTATCTATCGAGCGACTGTCTACTCACAAGAAAATATTTCCTATGTAAGTGACGGGCAGTTTTTGCAGACTTTTACGAACCGCTCCAAGTAGCCCAGTACTGAGAAAGGGCAGGTTAGCAGTTTTAAGGGGGCAGCAGTATATTCCCATTCCACGGACCCGATCTCGCCAAGCCTTCTCGCCGATTTCCTCGCAGGGGATCACTCTTAATCGAATATTCCCATTCCTTGTTTCAAAGGGGGGGCGTGTTGGTCTGCAGTAGAACTGTTAGATCCAAGTCCAGGAGCACTGTAGAGACCAATGAGGTTTTCAGGGCATGGGCTTTCAAGAGCCAAAGTTCCCTTCATCAGACAGGAGTCAGAATGGAGATGTGAGTCTTTCTATCCCCAGTCTGAAGGCAGGAAAGATGTTGTAAAGAAGGCGTAAAGGTAAAGGTTTCTCTTGCTCGAAAGCCAGTCGAGTCCGACTCTAGGGTTGCAGTGCTCATCTCCGTTTCAAAGCCAAAGAGCCAGCGCTGTCCGAAGACGTTTCCGTGGTCATGTGGCCGGCATGACTCAACACCAAAGCGCACGGAACGCTGTTACCTTCCCACCGAAGTGGTACCTATTTATCTACTTGCAATTTCTTGCTTTCGAACTGCTCGGTTGGGAGAAGCTGGAACTAGAGACGGGAGCTCACTCCGTCTTGCGGCACCCGGGTCTCGAACTGCTGAACTACTGACCTTCCACAGCCTGCAGTTCAGCGTCTTAACCACTTGAGCCACCACAGCTCCTTTTAAAGAAGGCATGCAGGATGCAAAAATACCATGCATATTGTGATCAGCTTGATTAGAGCAGAGGGGCAAATGCTTGGGGGCAGAAGATTGTCATCCAGTGTCCCTATTCAGCCTGGGGGTGGGTTTTCATTGTTCTGCGCTTGTGAATAAACTCAAGTTCAGCCGTTGCGTGTTCTAATCTTCCCTTGAAGTTTCTTTATTTGAGGACTGCTGCTCTTAGTTCAGCAACGGGAATGACCTGGAAGATTACTGATTCATATTTGTATTGCACCTGTCCCACTGCTTTACTATGCTTATATCCCACCTTTGCCTGTGGCCCATTAACTTGAGAGCCAGTTTGGTGTCGTGGTTAAGTGCGCGGACTCTAATCTGGGAGAACCGGGTTTGATTCCCCACGCCTCCGCTTGCACCTGGCTGGATGACCATGGGCAGGCCGTAGTTCTGATAAGAGCTGTTCTTGAAAAAGAGCCGTTTCTGTCAGAGCTCTCTCAGCCCCACCTACCTCACAGGGTGTCTGTTGTGGGGAGGGGAAGGGAAAGGAGTTTGTAAGCCGTTCTGAGACACCTTTGAGTAGTGAAGGGCGGGGTATAAATCCAATCTCTCCTTCTCCTTCCTTCTTCCTCCTTCTTCCTTCTTCTTGGATCTTGGGAGGATTCCTTGTAAATTTTTATGTCAGTATTAACAGCCCCCTTGTGACATATGGGGATTGGGGCTGAGACAGTATGTAAACTCCATGACGTCTTAGCTTCAGTTTTCATAAAGGGGAAGAACTTATGGTGAGCAGCTATATTAAGGCACATATACACGGCTTTCAGTTAGAACTATAGTGAATGAACAGTTGGCAAAACTGTTCAGCCGGGATCCAGATGTATTGACATTCCCGTGATACGGTTGCTGCTGTAAGAACTGGTGTCACGAAAGCCCTAGGGGGGAAGGTCTTGGGGAAGCAACAGTTGTCCTATCAGTTGGCTGGATTCTGCAATTAACTGGATACACCTCTCCATGCAGGACAAGAAAGTCAAATTGGAGGACAATCTGTGGGTACAGTACTTGCCTTCCGTAGTAATCACAATGACCAACTTCATTGCCCCGGTGATCTTTTCCCTTCTCATCAAGCTTGAAGACTATTCTCCAGCATTTGAAATCCGGCTAACACTCATGAGGTAAGCACCTGCACTGCTGTCCTTCTGAGCTGGTATTTTGAGTCTTCAACAGAATATTGTGAACGAGGCTTTATTATTGATATATTTCATTTAGGAAACGTGCACCTTGCCTTTAAACTCTTATGGTGGCTCCCTCCTTGCATGATCAGGTGCTGCAACATGGTATTAAAACAAGGAATGTTCATTGGTATGCTGTCTCTGTGTCTCCCCCCCCCCCAAGGTGTGTCTTTGTGCGGCTGGCCAACATCGGTGTTCTCTTGTTCTCACTGTGGATTCGGATCACTTCCTGTGCTGACCAAAAGTGCGAAACCTGTGGCTACAACTACAAGCTCTACCCCGTAAGCAGATTTTTTGCGTGTGAACATAAATTGCTACAAGGCCTGTGGGAAAAATTCTCCCTTTCAGTCGCTTGTCCTTGAATGTCTCTTAAGAAGTGGAGGAGGGCTGGCTGACAAGCTCCACCGCGAAATCTTGCTTGTGTGTTTCTTAGAACTCTGGGCTGCCTTTCCGCCTAACAGAGACTCAAGGTAGCTCACAGGAACAGTGAAAAACTGAATTGCACAATACGGCCAAAATTTTAAAAAGAGTGCCTGTAGCATAAATCTAACGAGGAAAACTGCGGCACATTTTTTTTTTAACAATCTCAAAAACTAAGCAGGGTCAGCCCCGGTTAGTCCTTGGATGGGAGACCACCAAGGACGTCCAGGGTAGCTACCCAGAGGCAAGCCATTGGCAAGCTTTTTGAACCTCTCTTGCCTCGAAAATCCCACGAAGAGATGCCATTGATTGGCTGTGACGAAGAGTGTGTGGAAGGGAAATCATCTCCCCAAAGCATCAGCAAACAGGAGAGACTTCATTATTTGTCTAAAAGATTGTGCCAGGTGAACATCTCTAGGAGGGAGTTCTGCAAACAGGGTATAGTCCTCTCTGTAGTGGGACTCACCTGCACGTGGGGAAAGTGGCCTTTGATCTTGGGTGTTCTGCAGATTGCTGGGAGAATGCAATGCTGGTATAGCATTGGGGCTAAGAAGATGGGCTACTGGGTTGGAATCTAGTTTTTGCTGTGAATTGACCGAGTGTCTTCAGACAGTCTGTTCTCTTGCCTTCATCCCCTTTGTCTGCAATACGGGGTTTAATAATACTGGACTCCCGTTACAGAGCAGGGGTGTGCAATTTTTTCTCTCTGTGTATTTTAGTATGGGTCTACTGGACCTGAAAAAATCCGGATGCCAATACTGAGGGAGGAAAAACCAAAAATCACTGAGGGAGGAAAAAAACAGTGGCAAAGCAGCTAAAAACAGCTGAGAGGTGGCTCAGCTGGGGCTCTTTTGGGCGGTCCCTTTAGACTGGACTGCCCAAAAGAGTTCGCCAAGCAGCCGATCCTACAGGGAGAACTCTCTGCGCAGGCTCTGCTGGGCAGCTTGGTTTTGCCAGTCATTCCTGACTATATCTGGGGGTTTTCTGGGGTGTTCCCCCCCCCAGTTCTCCTGAAAAATCCCAGATAAATTTGGGAAGCTGAAATATACTCGAAAAGTACCAAGAAGGTGTTTTTCGGGTGTATTTTGAGTTCAGGTTGACCTGAACAAACACCACTATTACTTAGTAATATTGCTTAGTTTCAAATTAGACCAAAGTTAATTTAGTTTGCGATCCATTCACCATACTTAGGTGTGTACACTACTGCATAAAAGCTTGATGCCAGTTTGTGTGTAGTGGTTAAGTGTACGGACTCTGATCTGGGAGAACCGGGTTTGATTCCCCACTCCTCCACTTGCACCTGCTGATGTGACCTTGGGTCAGCCACAAGCTCTGGCGCAGCTGTCCTTGAAAAAGAGCAGTTCCTGTCAGAGCTCTCTCAGCCCCACCCACCTCACAGGGTGTCTGTTGTGGGGAGGGAAAGGGAGACGAGTTTGTAAGCCGCTCTGAGACACCAAGTGAAGGGCGGGGTATAAATCCAATCTCCTCCTCCTCCTTCTTCTCCTCCTTCTTCTCCTCCTTCTCCTCCTCCTCCTTCTCCTCCTCCTTCTTCTCCTTCTTCTCCTCCTCCTCCTCCTCCTCCTCCTCCTCCTCCTTCCTTCTCCTTCCTTCTCCTTCCTTCTCCTTTCTCTTCTTCTTCTTCTTCTTCTTCTTCTTCTTCTTCTTCTTCTTCTTCTTCTTCTTCTTCTTCTTCTTCTTCTTCTTCTTCTTCTTCTTCTTCTTCTGGACCACTCTGAGGTCATTGCCAAAAATAGTGAGCCAGTGTGGTGTAGTAGTTAGTGTGTCAGACCAGGATCTTGGAGACCCAGGTTCAAATCCCCACTGTACCATGTAAGTCCGCTGGGTGACCCTGGGCCAGTCTTACGCTGTCAGCCTGGACTCCGCCACAAGGTTGCTGAAAGGATAAAAAGGAAGCGATGAGAAGGACGTGAGCTGCTTTGGGTCCCCATTGGGGAGAAAGGTGGGATCTAAAAGTAGTAAATAAGAATAGAGTTATCATAAATGAGGTTTCGAGATGAGCATGGATCTGATACTAGGCAGTGCTGGTGGGACACTGCTCAGTCTTGGGACAGCTTTCAGCCATTGAAAAGTGGGAAGGTTTTAGATCAGCCTGAAAAGAAACCGGATGGCATCCTGCCCCACTTTTGAGCATTTGCCATGACGATTCCAGTAGTTGGTTTGAATTCTGGGGGGGGGGGGGGGGGAGAGAAGCAGCGCTGTTTTTGTGGACCGCTGGATCTTCCTCTTTGCTTCTTCCAGCTGCCGGATTTATTCTGCCGTCTCATCTTTCATTTCAGTGCTGGGAGTCTCAGGTTGGGCAGGAGATGTATAAACTGATGATCTTTGACTTCATAATCATTTTTGCAGTTACAGTCTTTGTGGACTTCCCTCGAAAGTGAGTATGCAACTTGGGTGTAAAAAAAGAAATCTCTGGTCTTCAGAATTGAAACAGAGGGCAAGATCAGTTTGTAAAGATTTTAATTTAACCGCCCTTATCCAGAAAGAACGCCCTTGTCAGATCATCATATGTAAACTCTTTATTCAAATCAGTTGGTTTTTTCCAGTTGGTCCCAAGAGAGGATCTTAAAAATGTAATGAATTCGATCAGGTGGGACGCTTTACCGGACTGTTTCTTGAGCCGGCCCAGCATCCTGCCTCACACCGTGGCCAACCAGTTCCTCTGGAGGGCCAACCACAGGGCACAGAAGTCGAGGCCTTCCTCTGATGTTGCCTCCTGGCTCTGGGATTCAGAGGATTAGTGCCTTTGAATGTGAAGATTCCCCTCAGTCACCATGGCTAGTAGCCATTGTCCATGAATCTGTCTAATCTTCTTTAAAAGTTTATTCCTGTGGCCATCATGACATCCTCTGGCAGTGAATTCCATATTTTAATAACTTTCTGTGTAAGTAGTATTTCTTTTTGTCCATCCTGAACCTACTGCCCGTCTGCTTCATTGGATGCCCTCGAGTGCCAGTATTTTGGGAGAGGGGTAAAAAGTTCTCTCGGTCAGCTCTCTTCACCTCATGCATACTTTATAAACCTTAGTTGTCTCTTTCCCACCATCTCCCCATCTTCCTTTATTCCTTTGTCATCCAAAGGCTCCACTGCTTCTCTGGCCGGTTTCCTGCTCTGGATATATTTCAAAAACTGTTTTATTGCTTGTTTTGATGTTTCTAGCAACCCACTCCTCAAAGTCTCTTTTTGCATGCCTGTTTATTGACTTTCATTTCTTTTGCCAGAGCCTGTGGGTCCCTCCTGTTCAATGCACTGGGGCGAACCTTCCACTTTTTAAAAGAAGCCTCTCTCCTCTTTATAGCTTCCTTGACTTGCATTGGTAACCACGCAGGCCTTCTTTTAGACCTGGCAGTGCCTTTCCTAACCTGTGGACTGCATTCTATTTGGGCTTCAAATTAGTGTGGTTTTAAATAGCTTCCAAGCATCCCCTAGGGAACTGGCTCTCAAGTGTTTCCCCTTCAGCTTCCTTTCCACTATTCCTCTCATTTTTCTAAAGTTCCTTCTTTTGAAATCAAATAAATCAGATTGTCTTCTCCTGCTGTTTCATAACCTTCGCCCCAAATGAGAGACATTTCCATTCTTCCCCTGAACTCTGTGTACAAGCTTGGAGGCTGCAGGGTAAGCCAAGCCAATATTTGTGGAGCCCTGGCCAAGGGAGCTGCATAATTCATACAGGCTGCAGTATCTTAACTTTTTCCTGGTGCAGAGTTTCAGACTAGCATATGGTTACTTATTTTTGCCTACTCTGTTCTGCTTTTCTTGTCAGTGTTGGGCAGGGACACCCACTCCCCCCGGCTATCGCATTAACATTTCAAAAGCGTTGCCTAAAGTGCTGCCCAACAACACGCCTGTCTATTAAATTTTAATCCACTCTCTCGCCAAAGAGCAGAGGGTGGCAGACATGATTCCCTCATTTTCCTCACTGCAAAGGAAGTCCCCCTTAGCAAGGTAGCATGCCAACCGGACGGAAGCAAGCTACACTACCTCCTTACTTCTCAAGATTCGGAGATTATTGAATTGACTGCCAAGTTCTTTCATGGTCTTATAAAACGGAAAAATGTCCCTGATCATTCTAATTGAGTTCAATGAGTTTGTATAATTTAATTCTAGGATTTGCGCTTGGGAAAAATTTTATATTGCTACAATTTAAGCTCATACAAATAGACATACCTTTGTAATGCTTTAGAAGTTATCTATTTTTCACAAGTTTTATAGGATTGTTTTACCCTATGGCAACTGTTTAGTATTTTATGCCAATAAAGGTATTTGTTTATTTGTTGTTTGTTTGATTCCCTCATTTTCCTCACTGCAAAGTTAGCTGGGGAGGGCGGGGTAAAAGATGAAAAAGCAAATTGACGGGCAAGCTGTCAAGACATCTCTGTATGGTTCGGTTTCCATTAATGCATGTTTTCGAATGGGAAAAGACTCTGTTTAGTTTTGTTTCTGGGTTTTTACATCAAGGGCTTTGCTCTCCCTTTGTCGTCCTTAGGCTGATGGTTACCCACTGCTCTCTGAAGGCCTGCCGGTGGTGCGGGCTGCAGGAGTTTGACATCCCTGACAACGTCTTGGAAATTGTTTACGGGCAGACCATCTGCTGGATCGGAGCCTTTTATTGTCCGCTGCTCCCTGCCATTGCAACGATAAAATATTTCATCATCTTTTATGTCAAAAAGGTATCTGTGCAGTAAGAACTGGGTGCACCACTCGGCAGCTGGAAAACAATCATTCTTTTCTTCTTGTGTGACTTCTTAAAACTTTCTGTAACTGGCGACATCATCCTGGGCAGTGTTTTTCCTCTTCTCCCCACCACCCACTGACACAGCAGGCCAGCTACAGAAGAAATAACAAAACAAAGTTCCATGCAGGTGAAACCCGCATGGAACTTTGTTCCGTTATTTCTTCTGTAGCTGGCCTGCTGTGTCAGTCTTGGAACACAGGCTCAGAGTCCTTGATTGGCAAAGCAAGTCCTTGAATGGTCAAAGCGTAATGCTTTTATGAACTGTGATCAGAAGCTGCAGTGGAGGAAGAGCATGTTGGCAGGAGAAATTGGAGGAGTGGGGTGGGAGCCTTGGGCTTTCCTTCCAGGTGTGAGTGGCAAGTAAAGCACTGGGGCTTGTTTGTTGGCAGGCCACTGGGGCAGACGGGGGAGTTTTTTTTTCTTCTCCCGTTTTTCAAGAACCAGCTGTGCAAGGCTAGCTGCTGATTAAGTGATGGGATTGGGTAGGGGGGGAAGAAAAATAAGCTACTGTTCGTCTTGGGCCCAGGATCAGTGTGTTGTGGCATGTGAGCAGAGATAATTTTTCCCCCACCTCTCCAGATAAGTCTGATGCATACATGCAAGCCTTCCGCACGGCCTTTCAGAGCGTCGAGCTCCAACTTTTTCTTCCTGGTGGTGCTCTTGATCGGCTTAGTCTTGGCTTTTATTCCCTTGGGACTCAGCATGACACAGTAAGTAGCCACGTCTGCATAATTCTTTGGTTCACTTGTCCAGGTGTGTTACTTTATATTACTGTGGGAAAGGACGGACAGTGTGTCAATCTTTCCTTCACTGAGTCCATCAATATTTGCTTGGGTGTCAAATGTCAGTTACTTCAGCGTGATGATGGCAGGAACCCAAGGGGTCATGATCTGTCTCAGTGGTCCCCCACACCCTGCCTGCAGATGTGTTTCCCAGCTCCCTCTTCCTTTCCCCCCGAAGCAGCCAGTCCAGGCTCACTGGAGCAGGAGGTCCTTCTGACAAGTCCAGGAGACCTCACCTTTTTGTCTTAAAGGGGAGCACCCATTTGGAAATTGTCGTACCTGTCATGGGACGAGACTTGACTTGGAACCTGCTCGTGTTTCGTGATTGGTCACAGCCACCCACAGCAGCCGTTTTGTGATGGAATCATATAATCACAGAGTTGGAAGGGTTCAAAAGGGAATTAGATAAGCATATGGAGCAGAGGTCCATCAGTGGCTATTAACCACAAGGTATAGATGGGAACTCTCGGTCTGGGGCAAGTGATGCTCTGTCTTCTTGGTGCTTGGGGGGGGGGGGCAACAGTGGGAGGGCTTCTAATGTCCTGGCCCCACTGGTGGACCTTCTGATGGCACCTGGTATTTTTGGCCACTGTGTGACAGTGTTGGACTAGATGGGCCTTTGGCCTGATCCAACATTGGCGTCTCTTATGTTCTTATCTCCAAGTTCATCATCTAGTCCAACCCCCTGTACAGTGCAGGAAATTCACAAATACCTCCCCACCCCCAGAGACCGCTATTCCACACCCAGAAGAACCCTCCAGGGATCTCCAGTCAAACTGGCCCGGAGAAAACTGGCTTCCTGAACCCAACATGGCGATCAGCATTTCCCTGGGCTTGTAAGAAAGGGCCACGAGAACTAAGCACTGAGGCAACCCTTCCTGCCCTCCCTCTCATGATCTGTCTACGTTCACAAAATCAGCATTGATGTCAGATGGCCGTCTCGCCTCTGTTTGGAAACCTCCAATTCTGAAAGTTTTGGAAGTGTCCACAGGCTCGATAATATCGGGGACCACTGCTCTGCTCAGCCTCTGCCACCTTTATACTGGCTAGCACTGACCAAACCCAATCTTGATGTGTGCTTGTCACCTTCAAGAGGAGTTGCATCAAATAATACAGGATGGTAATGTTTTGCCCAAAAGAAAGTGATTTGGTGTCGGTGTGTAAAGCCAGTGATGTTTATTTTATGGGCTACTTCCCTTTTTTCCTCAACCCCCCCCCCCCTTTCTTGGTCAGCATTCGCTCTTCAAAAGCCTGTGGGCCTTTTGTGTATTTTACTCATTCGTGGGACGTCATCGCATACACCATCAACAGGTTCCCGGATGTTTTGAAGAAGGTTCTGAACAGCATGGCCTCAGAAGCATTTGCAGTCCCTTTCTTCATGGTCCTCTGGTGAGTCCTGGCAAAGGTGTCCCCTTTCGATATTTTGGTGGTCAGTACTCTGTTCCTCTGCAGGCTTCAGCTCTGGAGACCACCGTAGCAGCCTTTAGCAGGGCTGAGCGTCTTGCTCATTTCTCTTTCTGCTGAGTGATACTGATCTGCTTCCTCCACTCCCCTAACTCAGAGCAGCTCTAGGAAAGGCACGGCCTGGGCTTGTGTTGTCCTGTCCTGACGACAAGTGTCACTCAAATGGTCATGATTTCTCGGGTACAGGGGAGAGACGGGGGTGGGGGTGGAATTCAGATCTAGGATCTGCTTCCAACGTCAAGCAACATAAACATTCTTAATACTTCAGATAAAACCATTGTGGAATTTCTAGGTTCACGGACAGCCCTAGGAAAATCCAGACTGTCACTCATGACGTGCACTCAACAAGTATTGATGCTCCGAGACACAGGCAGCCTACAGACCTCAGCCTTTCTTGCAACAAGTGAATCTCGTATGTTTCTGCTTTAGGCTTCGGCTTTATGCTTCCACCTAGAGCCCTTAAACCATTACTAAGCCAGATGTTGAACTTGGGACTTTCTGCAAACAATACACGTGCTTTACCAGTAAGCCACGGCCCAAGTCGCTTCACGTTAGGATTACCAGTTGTTGTTGTTTTCTGAGTAGCATTTTCCAAACTTGGATGTGCATGCATATTGAGGTGCCTTGTTCTTTTTTCTTCTTCATTGTTTACAGCCTCATTATGTTCTATTTCATTGCCTTGGCTGGAGCTCACAAGCGAGTTGTTAATCAGCTCAGGGAACAATTAGTTATGGTAAGTTCAAGTTGTGTCCTTGTCCCCTGCAGTCTAGTGCATGACTATTTGGACACGTGACACAGTGCGTGCCCCACTTCCACCCATTCAGTGTTTGTTATTATCCCCTGTGTGATATCAGAGTAGCCGACAAAGTTATGATAGATGTCAAATTAATACTGGGGGGGTGAGGAGTGATGTCCATCTTGAACTGTGATCCAGAGGTGTCTTCAACCAGTGCACTACATTAAAAAACTTTGGAACATCATGCTCTGAGTAACGTTAAATGTAACTATTCTAGATCGTAAAATCATACAGTACGAAAATGTAATAACTTTGCAGTCATTCCTGGCTTTCTGCAGTCTTCAGAATGCAGTATTATGCTGGTCTTAACTCTTCTCTTTAACTCGGGTGGCTGGAAATGAACTGAGCATTTGGGCTGCAGATACGGTATTTGGGCTGTAGAGGTTCTCCCAGTAACCTGCTGTTCAGGAGAGGAAGTGGAAGGCGACTAGTTGCTCCTGATCACATGGCTGCCTTGCTAGGAGGATGTTAACCAGTGGCTTCTGCCAAGAGCCTGCCGAGGTTGCCTTAGACCTGGATGTTTACAATTTTATTTAAAACATTTCTATGCTGCCTTTCCACCCAAATAGAGTCCCCAAGGCGGGATGTGGCACCTTCAGCAAGGAGTCAGAACCTGCAGTTTGGGGAAATGAAAACATTGGCAGCTGGCCCACGTTAATGCCTGGGAAAGCAACCGCTGCTGGTCACAGCGCTGTTTGCTCTGCTTTTGCACAAGGGGGTAGCTTATGGATGGACATTGCAAGAGAAGCTTCCTGTCTTCCCCAGCTGCGCATTAATTGTGTTTTTATTCCAATGGCCACCTTAGGAGAGCCGGGACAAACTCTTCCTCATCAGGAAGCTGACTGAAGCCCAGAGGCTTAGCTAAGAGGCCCGCGGATGCCTGTGATGCCAAGTTACACGCGGAAGGACTCACGTAGCAAAACCACAACAGCGAGGGATCTGTGGTGCCGTGACCCAGTAATTTGGGACCTTGTCGTTGCAGACTGGGGACACACAGGCCGAACTTGTGGCAGGCATGAGTCTTTTCCAACTTCAGCATGTGTTCCTCTGAAAGTGTGTGTGGGGGGGTGCTTCCCACGGTTTACATCGCCCTCATGTTCTCAACTGGATTGAGTTGTTGGTCGACTCAGGAAAGGATTTGTTACATCAGGCTTTCAGGCATACATGCCCTTGTTTTCTTTCTTGCGGGATTTCCCTGTCTTCCGTTTGTACAAAATGCAGCGCCTCTAAACCTGCATAAACTCTCTCCTGTCGTAGGGCTGTTTATGCTGTTGCTCCTTAACTTTCACGGGTTACATTTAAGCCTCCGTTTTCCAGGGGCTTTTATGAAAGGCATGCTTCTTGAAGGGAATTTTGCTTGCAAACGGCCTTAAGGAGCTTGGACGCTTCCCTTCCCCGCTGTGGCTGCAGCCTGGATCCAGACTGACTCGGAGGCCACCGGACAGGCCACGAAACAGTTTGTGGTGTGCAGCCACTTCGTGGACAGCCAGCTGGGCCTGCCGGCGGGTGCAGCTTTTCCAGCTCCTGTGCCTTGCTGCTGAAGAGGCTTTGAGCACTCACAGGAAGGAACTGTGTTGTCCCTGTCTCCCAACAGTGCCTTGCAGAGTAAGCCAAAGGAGGTGTTGGGCAGCTGCCTCCCCCTCCCCAGTCCTCCTTGAGCTTTGCCAGCTGTAGACGGTACGTTTGCCCTCTGAAAAGATGATTGACTGGTCTACATTTCCTTGGACTTGGGTAGCTTAAACTCGCCTATAATAGCTTACGTTCCCCCCCCAAAAAAATATACATAAACTGAGATTTATTCATATTGCTGCCTTGGGAGAGCTGTGACAAACTCTCCCTCATCGGAAGGCTGCCTGAAGCAGCACCGCTGAGAAGCTTTGTCGTCCATGGAGGTCCAGGCATAGCCCTCTGGCCTTGTATCTGAGCCACTTCTAAGTATGTCTTTCACTGGATATCTGCTTAAGCCATACGAAAGAGGAAACCACTGCAGGCGGTCTGCTTCAGCCTCAAAGTATGCAGAAGCTTACGTCACTGGATTTGAAACAAATTATTTCGAGACAGGGAAAAGAAGTTGGAATTGTCAGGGCCGGCTTTCCTGAACACTTTCAGTCCATACAGACCTTCTAAAGTCCAAGTGTTACCTGTGTGTCTTCTTATATTGTTTGCCATCCTCTGGAAAACTGGCTTGGCAAAAACCAGAGGCTCAAGCGAATTGAGGGTCAAGTTCTCAGGGCTGGATCCTGGGCTAGCGTTCGTTTTTGTGAAGTCAACGGAGTTCGTTTGGGGCCCTTCTCAGGAAGCCTCGTTGCCTTGGTCCACTTCCACTCAGTGGTGCCCTTCATGCTTGAGGGCCTGCTTGGAACTGTTACTCTTAAAATGCTAACTTTAGGCTAATTTGCATAGACTTTTTTCCAAGCACTACACCTATTTTGCATAACTGGAACTGTAGAGAATAACTTGAAATGGCATGCTGTGTTTCAGAAAGAATTTGCACAATGTCCGGTACATGGTTAACTTGAAAGTTTGGGATCTTAAATTGTTTTCAATATTTTTAAATGCTTATTTTTAAAAGTCAAGGTGTTAAATATGCATTGATGCAAATAAATACAATGTGGATACTTTATGGAAACAGGTTTATTTATCTGTGGCAATATTCTTCACCTCTACCAAACATCACACAAAGATCAAGATTATGCTTTTGAAAAACATGAGATAATCACAGTGTCAGAAATAAGGCACAATGCATTTAAAAGTTAAGTGCGTTTGAGAGCCACTGCTTTTTAAGCCAGATGACCATGCGTGTGCACTGGAAGGGAGTCTGTCTACTTTTCTCCATCTCTGAGCCTTATTAAAGTGGTTAATGCTGTCAGGTTTTGAAACTTCTATAGGCCTCCAAAGACTTGTAGGTTTTATTGGCAAATGGAACAGGACTGTGGCTCAGTGATAGAGCATCTGCTTGGCATGCAGAAGGTCCCAAGTTCAGTCCCTGGCATCTTCAGTTTTTTTAAAGAATCAGGTCAGGTAGTAGATGTGACCTGAGACCCTGAAGAGCCACTGTCAGTCTGGGCAGACAGTACTGACCCTGATGGACCACAGTCTGATTCAGCATAAGGCAGCTTCATGCATTTGTGCCTAACACTGACCATACCATTTTTGGCATGTGATGAAATGTGCTGTACTCCACAGAAGCTTGCTAGAATAAAAATGTCAAGTCTTTAACATGCAAGAATCCTGTTTGCTGTTGGCACTGGGTAGATCTTATAAACATTACACATTCCAATAAGAGAATATGTGTCTGAGGTTCTAGAGCTTGATGTTTTGGTTTCCCATGAACGTGACGGAACGAATAATGCTGGCCGGTTTTGAAAGTACTCTCTAAGCCTTTGTGAGGACTGAGCTCAACCTTAGGATTTGAACAAGAGCTGGGTGGGTCTCAAAAATACCTACCTGAACCTGACCTTTTAGGCATCATATTAAGCGGAATGCAAGCTGAGTGATGAATAAGATGGTAGCTGCTGTGAGGTTCTCAATGAAGCTTCTAGGAAGAAAGAAGCAAACAGCCTTGTATGTGGCTGGAAGCGAAGGAAATGTGGGAATGTGAACTACAATGACATGGGGAGATGAGAAAAATAAACCACCTGAGTGGCACTCGTACTCTCAGGTCCACAATCCTTGTTGGTTCTCTTTTCTTCAGCAGACGAACTGTAAGAAAACCAGCAACATAATCACAGTTCATAGATTGCATGGGGGGGGGGGATGAGGGTCTGACCAAGCTGTGGTTCTGCTCAGTTACATCATCTGCACAGGGATTAACCAGTAGCCTGCACCCTTGCAGGGGGAGGGGAGAATCAGTCTGTGAGCTTTCTGCACAAACAAGGAAGTAATGCTAGAAAATAACTTTGGCATACTTGGTGATAAGGAAGTGAAACACATACTAGATTTTATCTCCAGCAGCTCAGCAGCCGTAACAAAAGTTACTAGCATACGTAACAGGGCTTTTCTAAAACACCTGCATGCCTCTTACTTTCCCCTGTGTCATCTTCGCCTATAATGGCATAGATGGTGCATCTATGCTACCTTGCTTAAGTGGGGCCATGGTTCTGTGGTCGAGTATCTACTTTAGCCTGCAGAGGGTCCCAGGTTTGATCCCCAGCTTTTCTAATTAAACGGACCAGGTAGCAAGTGAGACCCTGTAGAGCCACTGCCACTCAGAAGAGATACCGATCTAATGGTCTGACTTGGTATAAGGCAGCTTCATGTATGTGCAGTACTTCCATACATGGCAAATCAGCGATGTCAGCTGTATGCTTGGATTGGTGGTCCAAGAGCCACTGCCACTCAGAAGAGATACCGATCTGATGGTCTGACTTGGTATAAGGCAGCTTTGTGTATGTGCAGTACTTCCATACATGGCAAATCAGCGATGTCAGCTGTATGCTTGGATTGGTGGTCCACTGCAGCCCGGAAACTTGAGAGATTTAAAAGTCTGCTATGACTTTTGTGTTGGGGGTGGAGTGCGTGTGAGATGAACTAGGGTGTGCCAAATACCTGGAAGTAATTGGGGGGGGGGTGTGGATTGGGCAAGAAAAACCAAGCTTTGCTTGTTTAATGCCAAACCACAAAGTGGTGTCACATTCTGAACCTTGCCATTTTTTTACCTTAGCCTTTCATTGTGTTGATCAAATGTTCGTTGTTGAACGGTGCTGCTTTCTTGTATCACATTCGGGACACGAATTTCAGCACTGGAATCAGTGTTTTCTTCCCCCTCCTTCAGTCTGGCATCTGTATTTATGCTCTGGTTTGAAAAGGGCAAAGAGTTAATGCTTTGAAATCTGTTTCTGTTGGAAATCTTAAATTAGCCCTAATGGAGAGATCATAGCAGTTTCTATAGAATAAATCCATTAGCCATCGACTTTTTCAAGCAGACGCTTCTTATAAGGAACAGTTGTGCTTAATGCTGTCTGTTGAACAGAATAAATGATGCCTAAATATGAACATTCTTCCTGATATCAAATGGTGAGTTGTTTGCCGAAAGCTTCTAAGCCTTCTGTGATATGATTAATCTTAAATGGCAGCACGTCTTAAGGTTCTTTCATGGCACCCTACA